CTCCTTTTACCAAAATGATCAGCGAAAAAAGCTCTACAAAGTCTGGCAAAAAAGGAAATTTTCTGAGTACTTTATGTATTTATGTTTGGCTACTCATGGATCTACACATTCACACGAAAATTTTACAAGTCGAATATATATTAAAATATTTGTCGAAGAATCATTCAATCGATTGATAATAGGCAATAAACTATGCTCGGATTTTATTCTTTATTTTCCTAATAAAACTCATATTTTTAAAGTCCTAAAATCCGATATCTAATCAAATATATTAATAATAAAAAAACAAAATCTCATAGATTTGTAAACTAATGAGAATGACAGTAACAACTTTATTAACAAAAACAGTTTAACCTTTTGGGGGCGAAATTATTTTTCAATTGAAAAATGGTTCTTTCGTCAATTTATTGTATATGGCTCAAAATGATTACATAAAAGCCTTATGACAATACATCAAGATAAGAAAGAAAGTGATCATAGCGTCAGTGCATAGAACATTAAAAAAAAGAGAAGATCTGGGAAGCATCTATATGACAGGAAGAAAGAGAGGAAAGATATAGATGCGGCGGTAGCTGAAACGACCTATTAACTTACCGATGATAATAGTTTTATGAGAAACAAACATTTTCCTTACTGGAAAATAGGTAGTACACCCTTGTACTACCGGCTCCAAACCGTAAATCGACACAAGTGGATCAGCTAATGAACGTAATAAGCGATAACAAGTTAAGAAAAATATATAATGATAACAATTACCAACAAAACAAAAGTTAATCACAAGTGAATCAGCAAAGGAAACAACCAATTATCAGATAAGGCCAATAACAAGAGGAACAATTACAACAAAACAACAATGTTAATAAAGAATGTGAAATATACGAAGAGAAAAAAGGAATGATACTGTAATAAAAACTTGACCAACAAATATATGAAGAAAAAAAACCAAGTCAATTTTTTTCGGAATTATTTATTTGTTGTTCTTGTTGTGTCCCACACCGACGTCGAGATTCTAAAAAGGATGAAATGCAAACATTTATATAACAATGATTATGCACTCACCATCGAATAGTTGATTTAGATAAATTTGTGTTAAATGACGTACACCAACATCCGTGACGAGCTGTTTTATTTCTCCATCATTTAACTTGTTCTCGTTTATCAATTTTTCACGTTCTTGTATTTTTTTTATCAAGACGTTGAATTTCACTTTTGTAAGCTTCACTCTAACAAATAAAACAAATATTGACAAAAAAATAAAAAAACAACATATGATCTGATGTAAGAGTAGTTAGTTGATATTCGCGCATACGCATGCAATCTACAAACATAATTCTGTTGAAAAACAGAACAAATAAAGTAGCTTTTCATGCAAATTTAGTCAAAATATTCCGATTTAAAAATGAACTAAATAGCATATTTGGAATCAGTGCAAAAACTGTACTAACTAAAATAATTTTTAGGGAAAAAATTTTTTATACAAAAACTTCGACTGTACTACCTCTCGAAATTTTCCCTGAAAGGGAGTACAGGCGAATTTTTCATAACAATCTTTTTCACTGAAAATTATTTTAATTAGTGCAGTTTTCTTTGCACTGATTAGGAATATGCTATTTAGCTTATTTTTAAATCGAAATATTTTGACTAAATCCCTAATGAAAATTATAAATGTTAATAAAACCACATAAATCAGTATAAAAACTACAATCGTAACCGTTGTTGAAAAAAGTTAAGTAACCTCCTGGTGTTTTTTTCTCAGATTTTCTCACACCAGAAGATAGGTTTTTACGGAATTTCTTTTGGTGGGACAAAAATTTCTAGGGCCATTCATTTTTCTATTGAAGATGTCAAAATACTTTGAAAAAATATCGAAAAACTATACTCTTTTTCATTAAAAAAAAATATCGTATTGACTTTTTTTCTCATAAAATGACACTTGTGTGAAGTGGAAAAATATATGGATCGATAAAAAACCCACACCCACATCCACCCGAGGTTGAGCAGTGTTCAGATTTTCAAAAAAGGAAATTACGGAAATTTCAGAAATGTTGAGAGTAACATCTCCGAAATCTCTGTCATTCCGAAAAATTCAGTAATTTCCACTATTTCTGAAGGTAATTTTCCTTGAGCTTGCATCTTTTAGGAAATTATAAAAATTTTCGCAATTTTTGTTTGTGGAAATTTGAACATACTTCTCGCGGTTACAATGAGGATGCGATCATTAGATTTCCAAAGAGTTCCTATGAGTCATGATACCGCTATTTGTTTGAATAGGAAATGAATAATGGGATTCTGATTTTAAGTGCAGAAGAATAAGTGAAATTGTCATGTGTTACAGGGCTGTCATATCCTATAGTTTTCAAATAAGATACATCGTTGGGTATATACCTTTTTCTTTTGAAGGAGCCAGGTTTAGTTTGGAAGAATTTCTGAAAGAAATTTCTTTTCTAAGAAAAACGATTGTATTTCACTGTTCTCTATTAGATTTCGACTTTATTATTCATTTTTTTTTTCACTAAAAATATCTCTGTCAGAAATAAATCATGATTTTGAACATAACCGTTACTTAAACACAACAAGATAAAATTTTCAATTACGACATTCTAAATATTCAAATTAGTATTCAAATTAGGTAAAGTAAATTTTTCTAATAAGATTATAGATTTCTTTACTTCGAGCGCATTTGATTAATTCAGGTTCATTTTGAAAAAATTTTAAAAAACTACTGATTACATTTCATAATGTAGTTCAATCTTATTTTTAATTCAGCAACTATAATTTCACTTAGCATTTAACTTCCATTAGTGGGTCATGAATGCTTCATCTAACTAAAAATACCTTCTATTAAAATGCATTTTTTTCACCAATATTGTTCAATATAAATATTCAGCAAGGAGATCATAAGTTCTATTCAAAAAACACAATTCATTTCAATTACGACATGAAAAGCTCAAAACTCCAAATAGTTAGAGATGGCCAATGCGCGTCATTGGTTATTAATTTCATCACTCATAATCATACGAAAAATCGTAGTTTCTTCAAAGTTTATATCAAGTCTTAGCATTAGATTTTTTCAAGATCTGATCACTTTATAAGATCTGATACAAGATCATATTATTTGTACGATCTTCCACGAATCGTTCATCAAAACTTGATGCAAGTTTTGCAGACATCACAGTTTTTCGTACGTTTTTCATACGATTTAGTTTGATTCATAAGACCTTACGTTTGATTTTTTCAACTAAAAGCTGAAGAATGAGATTCTAAACAAAAATATTTTGTAAAGAAAAAGACTGTTTTTAACAATCAGTTTTTCTTATTCAAAATACTAAATCAAATGTTTTAAAGTTGTAGAGAGTAAATTATAAGTTCCCAGGTCAAACAATCAGAAAGTAAGAGCTGCCGAGATCGTACCTCTGATCATATATGACATTGTAATATCAGACGAAATCATATGAAAAAATTGTGATGTCTGAAAAACTCACATCAAGTCTTGATGTGTGATTGTCAGAAGATCGTACAAATAATATGACCTGGCAAGAATCATACATCAAGACTTGATATAAGTTTTTCAGACATCACGATTTTTTCATACAATTCCGTCTGATATTATAATATTATATATGATCAGTGGTACGATCTTGTCAGATCTTACTTTCTGATTGTTTGACTTAGGTTGGTGTGAAAAGATGCTATGAAATATGAGATACACCGACAATTGAGCTCCCGACATTTGAGCCTCCGTCGATCAATTACGTAAGAAATCATATCAATATTCTATCACTTTATTCAACTCAAAAGTAGTGGACACCAGATATGGGCACAGGAAAATCTAGTGCGCTGTCATGCTGATTGACTCCATTCTGGTGAGCAACAGGGCAGAACATAAATTATAGTATTATCCTGTCCTATATCCGTCTCTCATGTACACGAACATATGCCATGTTCCTATAGTACTGTGACTTGCTGGTAAATTTTGCATAGCTAAATTAATTATCTTCACGTAAACTAATAAATCCGATTTATAGACGCGTGCGTGAGTGTAGATGAATATGAACAGAATGACCACATTTCAACATGATCACACCCTCACCCACGATATCCATAGGTAACTAAAGCCAATAAGTAGAAATTGGTCTTTAAGTTTTGAGAATTTCACAATCGACATGATATGATAACAATAGAATAAGATAAAACAGTAATGAAGACTAGGTGAAAAAAGAAAAATATTTTAGACAACTTACTGGTTTTCGTAAATATCACTGACTCAGCTCGGGATTACTATAATAGCGCGTCATCAGCCTCATAGAAAAATATTGCGTATTTCTATTTATGAATTTTCAGTTGAACAAAGTGACGAAATATTGATATTATTTCTTACGCAATTACTCGATGCAGGCTCAAATGTCGGGAATCCAATTATCGGGAGCTCAACTATTGGTGGGCTCAACTGTCGGGAGGTTCACCTGTTGGGAGACTCAACTGTGGAGAGCTCATTTGTCGAGGCTCAACTCTCGGGTCACCGAAATATGGGGGTAAGATATTCTATGATCATACAAGATGATATTATCAGATCTTGTATGGTTCGTATATTATATCTTGATGTAAGCTTGTCTGACACTACGATTTTCGTCTAATATTGTATGAACATATATGATCAAAGAATAAGATGGTATATGAATTTGTAGGGATCTGTGTCAGATTTTACCGTCTGATTGTTTGACCTTGGTAGCTATTAAACTCTTTTGCTAGAGATTTTCAAACATTATCTCAAAGTGGTACATTATTCTTCAAAGGAAAATTTAGATTGACATTGTTTGTATCGATAACTTTCATTTAGTTTTTATTAAAAAACAAAAAAAAGCCAACAGAAGAATTCAATTGCGAAATTTTAATCAATGATAATCAAATTTGTGTTCTATTTTACAGTGAGAATTTATTTGATTAAATTAATTATATAAAATATTTATTATTGATTTATTAATAAAGAAATCTATTGTCTGTTAAAAGTAAGTAATATTTGAATGATCGTCTGTTTTATTACTTGTATGACTTTTTAAACTGTCTATAGTTAAATCACGAACATTTTTTGATGTACTTTTAGAAGATGAATCTATACAATATCGTCGTAAAATATAAAAAATACCCATTCCAGTTATAAGTAACAAAACAATTGTAATTACTATTCGAATATTTAATGTTTTCTTTGAATTATCTTCTATTATTTGAAATAAAAAATGCGGAAACTTCGGATTTATATCCGAGAGTTATGTGTACTTCAAAAAGTGAATTAGACAGATGAGTTATCCTAGAATATGTGGATATCAAAATTATACTGGGAAACCTTTCCTATAAATTGTTTATTTCTGTTGACTATTGGTCCATCAATAGGGCTTGAAGGCGAATAGAGCTCAAATTTGAACTCTTCGCCTTGATTTACCCTGAGAAAGTCGTTTTTCCTATAACTTGATTTCTATTGGTCACTGCTGAACCAATAGTATTTCGAGGCAAATGGAGTACGGATTCGAGTTCTCCGCCCCAGAAAACCCCAAAATATCAACTCTATGATCGGAAGATAGAGCTCGAATTGTGAGTCAATTAGATCGCGGACAAAAACGGAACCTATTTCCGTTTAATTATGTTTGTAATAGGTAGGTTAGCCTTCTCGTTCCTTTATGTTTTATATACCATTTTGCAGCTCGTGAAATTCTCTATTGAATGGTATATAATAGTCGGGGTTTTATTTGACTATGATGGAAAAAGTCTTTTACGAAAGCTGGGGTGGGTCGATTTTCGCATAGGAAGCCATAGGGAAAAATGACTATTTTTGCAATAACTCACGAATGGCTCGGCCGATCATGCTCATCTTCGAACTCGACCGAGACATTGTTAAGACTAAACTGTGTAGAAAATTTCATCGCGATTGAACTCTTCTTTCAAAAGTTATCGTGTTAACGGCCGGACGGACGGACGGACATACTGACCGATTCTAGAGTGTACTCACTTTTTGAGTACACAAAAAAGGAGGATTTATAATAATTAAAATTAAAGAAAACAAAAAACTAGACAATATTTGAATATTTTACTTTCTTTCATTGCATGAATAATGTTAGCTGATTTAAGATTAAGATCTCTATAAATACGAAGTTCTTGTACATTTTCTAATGATTGACGTTTATTAATTTTAATATAAATATATCCATTAAAAGTAACCTTAAAAATCAAAACTAAAAATCAAATCAAACTAATTTTTAAAAAAAATTATTTTTTTTTTATATCTATTTACCTTATATTTTTCATCTATATCAGTTATAATATCTATAGCAAATGTTGAATATAGAATTAATGGATTCGTTATTAATTTTATTTCATCAGTCTATCCACCATTCTTTATTGAATTAAAAATAAAATTATCATTTATACGTTTTAGATGAAATGGAATTGTATTAATATCTATTATTAAATCAATATGCAAACTAAATGAGGTATATTTTTTTTTAAAGAATACTTCATTTAAATTCTTACAGAGGTTAAAGCAGTATACCAACAATATGTATTTCAACATTAAGTTGTAATGGTGAAGATATAGTTCCACTATAATCAGTGAGATACATCTTTAACTTTAATACAATAATTAAAATAATATTTAATTTATAAAAAAAGCGAAACTTTTTAGTTCATTCGAACCATTAACTGATTTAAAGAAACGGTGATAATTACCATAGAATAAGATTATACTAATAATGATGATTTTATTATTAGAATAAGGTAATAGAAGAAGTATTAAATGATACATAGAGCCAATAGAAATAGGAGAGTTCATCACTCTATTTTATTTTTCAATTTATAATAATAATAATAATAAGTAACGCGTCGGCCCAACGGACTTCGCTTAGCTCAATCCTGGAAGGGCAGAAATGATAAAAGCTGTTTTATCGGTTCAGTTCTAAGAAATTTAGAAAAACAGAAAGCTAAGGATCTTTAAGACATTCCGCTTCTGTTTTACAGGATCCAAATAATCCAGGCGTCGTCGAAAAATCTGACCTACTTTCGCTTCCAGAAATTGCTCTTTTTTCTAAGAATGGACTTGAGCTCATGATAACAACTCACTGGATGATTTGTTTTAGAGCTTCCACTCGATTATTTTTATCGATAGAATACGCTTTAACTTGGTGCTCTTAGTTTCTGACAGACAGAAAAGAGTACAAGCCTTAATTGCTTCCACTTTGGGTGCTTTAATCACCATAGTTACAGCCATTTTACTGATATGATTTATGCTAAAGATAAAAAATGAATTTATTTAAACATATGTTCTCTTTTATTCAATGAATGATCAACAATGTAAATGATGAACAAAAAACTTAATCTTTTTTTATAAAATAAAAAAAACTTTTTAATCACAGAATCTTTTTTTTGCTAAACAAAAAACTTCTTTCTCAACACACAATCAGTAATCTTTTCTTTTCTGAGTACAAAAAAATTCTTTCAAACAAATGTTTCTAGACAAATATGATTTTCTTCAAACAAACAACATTTTTTTAGAAAAAAAAATATTAATACGGCAACGTGCTATGGTTCACGACGACATGATGATCTGGAAAGAAACAAATATAAAAAACAATCCACGAATATCAAAAGCTTACGTTCTAATGCATGCAACTCTTTTTGAATATCGTGTAACTGTATCGCCAGATCTGTAATAGTCTTTAATAAATCCATCCATTTTGCAGGATCATCGATAGGTGAGCAATTAAATAAGGCTTGACGAGCTTCATCAAGTCTATTACTAACATTAGTTTCTTCAGCTTTCACTTGTAGTAACTAAAAACAGAAATTTAGTAAACTGTTGTAAATCTATTATAAAAAAAAGGACTACTAATAGCTCCATAGATATAAGATATTCGAAATGAACTGCCTAACAATGCTCTCCAAACATCTAATTACCTTTTCGATAAATGGATCAATAGCCATTTTGTAAGCCTTTTCTTCAAGAAAATTCTGACATTTCATTTCTTCTTGTTTTTTTTTATAGTGCCAATTTTGTTTTTTTCTCTTTCTGTGTTTAGTCAATTTGGTATGTACCCTCATCGTCGTCTCTCACCCTCAAAATGTATAAATTTGATATTGATTGGATAAGTCATTAGGCTGTGGGTACGTACCAATCATTTTCTTAATGAACGTTCAATACAAAAAAATATATCATCCGTCCTCAACGAGAAAAGAGGACTGAAACTTACAATGTTACGGCGGATGTGTCCGCCTTTGTTTGAAAAATCAGGAATGGGAGAATAAAGATCAGGAAATAAAGACATTTGTAAAGTATATTGACAGCGATCAAGAAAAAATAACACTAATGAAAACACCTACAGTAATCGCCATAAGTGGGCGCGACCGAAAAAACGAGGAAGACAAAGGAGTTATTTGATTATATTTTACTTATGAAATATACATTATATGTGCATCATCCTGATAATTGATATAGTCGCTTTTTCTTTCTGTTAACAATGCTACTCTATTTTCCATAGAATCGACTAATTTTTCATTAGATTCATTAGCTAAGTTTCTTCATTCTTTTTTTTCATTTTTTCAATAAAATGATTGATCGACACATTCGGTTCTTTGTTTATTCTTAGCTTCATCAATGCGCGATATCTTCCATTGGGTTATAGTCTGTGAGTTTTATATTCCACTTAAATCTTTTTTTAAAATATCATCACTTGTTAGAAATGATTTCGAGATCGGTTTCATTGAATGTACACTTGCAGTTTTTAAATCTTCTTTTTAGCATTGTTTTACTAATTTTTATACCTCTTTTTGATAACTTAAATACAATTCAACCGACAGATTCGATTAAATGTTGAGCTATCCTCAACGGAGTCGTTACATCTTTTCTTTCCGGTATATATCGAATTTTATGCAACTTATGCGCCAGC